AGTGCTTGGCTTCTGCTCAGCCTCGCTGTCCAGACTGGCTCTGAAATGTTGGGTTTTCCCTTCTGCAGGTTGACTCGTTCAGGGAGCGGATCACGAGCGAGGTGAGTATCCCGCTGCTGCTGCCCCAGAACGTGGTAGGACAAGGTGGAGGCTTTTGGGCCATATCTTTCTGACAGAATTTATTGTGATTTGAGCCTCTCCTGGAAGCCTGGCAGTGCTCAGAGTGTCAGAGGTTGCACAGCCTCACGGCTCTCCTGGCACCTTCTCACCTTGGCGCAGTGTGAAGGCAGCACGGGTGTTCTCTGCTGTTTCCTGCCTTTGGACAGCTGATTCCCCTCAGGCTCCTGCATGCGAGTGGAAACCTCACAGCGTTGTTTCATGCCTTCATCTGTTCTTTCTCTCACAGGCTGAAGACCTGGTGGCAAATTTTTTCCCAAAGAAGCTGTTAGAACTCGATGGGTTCCTTAAGGTAAGGTGTACGTAGTTCTCTGTGTCTTTTTTCCGTTTGCAGGTGCAAGTTAGAAGGGAAGTGCCAGGTTTCACCCTGTGTTTTCTCCTGTATTTCACCATTTTAGAGACCGAAGCAGTGGCTGGCTGCCTGGTGCACTTAAGTGCTGTTAGCTCTAGAGGGGGTGCTTCCCTCCTCGGTTCTCTTTGTGTGATCAGCACATTTATCTTTCTTCCATACTTTGGGGTCCTTCATAGTGCTGTGGCCTTGCAGGGACTCCAGAACTGCAGACAGCTGATAGCTTTGATCAGTTTGGAGCTGGCATGCTGCTCTTGGGTGGAGGGAGGTCTTGTCCCAGGCTTATTGTTAGACTCTTTTCTTCATTCATCCTTATTTTATAGTCGGGTAAGAGGGAGGTCTGAATTTTTTGTCTTCTTGTTGTGTTTGATGTGACAGAACTTGTTCCTTCATAACTAAATAACAAATCTGCTTTATTTTACAGGAGCCTATCCTGAATATTCATGATCTCACTCAGATCCACTCGGACATGAACCTCCCAGTGCCTGACCCAATTCTTCTCACGAACAGCCACGATGGACTGGACGGGGTAAGGTTACTCTCTTGGCTGTGGTTCCTACTTCTGTTAATTAAAACTGCATGGCTGGCTCTCTGTTGGGATAGGATATTCTTATTTAAGAACAGGCTGTGGCTCTCCTAAAAGCTTTTAGAAATTGGTCTCTCAAGCCCTGGAATTCTGCTGGAGGTAATGCTGTGCTCTGCAGTCCTCCTTGGTTTTTAAAGAGGGATGCTTAGAATCCAGGAGTGTAGCAGAGGCTCTGAATTTTTCCTTACTTCCTTTGCAACGCTGTTGAAGCTTATGACTAGATTGTGAGTAAAACGTTTTGTATATTTTAGCCAAATATGAAAAAGAGGAAGCTGGAAGACCACGAAGAGACCTTTCAGGGTAAGAGTCCCCAAGTCTTGTGTTGCTGCCTGCCCCTTGAACCAGTGCACCGTGCCTTAGGGGTGAGAAGTCGTGAGAACCCCACTTGCCCTGTCCTGGCAGCAGCAGCTGCTCACGCTGGCCTGTCCCTACAACTTTTCAGAGCCTGACCGATGGGCGTTCTGTTGTGGAGGAGTCGGGTTCCAGGTCTTAGAAGCATAGTTAGGACTTCTCTGATAGACTTGCTTGAGCTTGGCCTTCTGGCAGAGGCAGCTGATGCCCCTGTGGCTCTGTGATGACAGCTCTCCATGCCTAGGGGAAGATACCGGGCTCTGGGCTACGCTGAGGCAGCAACGGCTCCTGCACGTGCATCAGGAAAATCACTTGTGCCCAGCCTCAGCAGCCTGGAGCTCTTCAGCTCTCGCCTCTGCTCCATGATTTTTCTTTTCCTTTCTTTGTGGTAACTTGGTCACTTCTCTTGTCCCGGACAAGACTTCCCTGGCCCCACAGGTTAGCTGTAGCCTGGCCCAGTGTCCACCAAAGCCTTCGCGGGAGATAAGACGTTCAGGTGGCCCTTTGGGCTGACCCTGCGTGGTGCTGATCGAGGTGCTTTTGTCCTTTGCTGCCAGGTACCAAAGTGTTTGTGATGCCCAATGGGATGCTGAAGAGCAACCAGCAGCTGGTGGACATCATTGAGAAAGTGAAACCAGAAATCAGGCTGCTTATCGAGAAGTGTAACACGGTGGGTTTGAACCAGCAGAGCCAATGGGATGCTTTTGGTCCTGGAGAGGCAGAGCTGCTCTGGGTGGAAGCTGCAGGCCTCTCTGTGTTCTGTAGATGAGCAGGGGTAGGATTCATACTGCAGTGTCTAAAAGCAATTAGGAGGTAGGTGTAGGGGAGTGATGTTTTCTTGAGCCCTCCGGGAGCTCTGTAGCTCACCTCCTGAAGGAGGAGCATGTCTGTCACACAGGCTCCTCAGGGCTTTTCTTCACCCTCCTTTTGCACAGTCACAGGCATCTGCTGGGAGCTCTGTGGCATGGGTCAGGAGAGCTTCCCATGGGAAGCTGTGCTTGTGCTGGCTTGCGTGGCGTGCCAGCCACAGGGGAAAGGATCTCTTCAGAAGTGTTGAATGAGCATGAAGGATCTGTAGGAGTTTATTGTGAGCTAATGCAAAGGCAGGGTCCTGGGGAGCTTCTGGTGAAACTCTTGAGGGAGATCTCTGTGGAGATACTGCCATTGATCAGTGTTGTGATATCTCCACCGCAGGTCAAAATGTGGGTGCAGCTTCTCATCCCCAGGATAGAAGATGGAAACAACTTTGGTGTCTCTATTCAGGTGAGGCACCTCTGGCTCTATGCCCTGCCGTGGGAGAGAGATGGGCCCCAGGGACGTGGATCTCTTGGCTTCCTCTGAATCTGTCATTTGATAGGGAGTCATGGGTTTGGCTTAGGCTTTCAGGCCCAAACCCGAGCTTATCGTGGCACTGCTGAGACATGTTGCCTCCAGAGCTCTGCAGGCCAGCTGCAGTCTGGTGAAGCTAACGGCTTCCTGCTCTCCCCTGCAGGAGGAAACGGTGGCTGAGCTTCGAACCGTGGAGAGTGAGGCAGCATCCTACCTGGACCAGATTTCTAGGTAGGCATGGAAGAACAGACCTCTTTTTTGGGATCCCCTTGGGCAAAGTGAAGTCCTGGGGGAAGGTCACCCAGCTTTTCTAGGGCAGCTTGGGCCCAAAAAAAAAATATCTTGGTGCTATTTTCTAACCTTTAGTCTCTTCCTTTTTCTACCAGATACTATATCACAAGAGCAAAGTTGGTTTCCAAAATAGCTAAGTACCCTCATGTGGTAAGTAAAGGGAGAAGCGGAGGTTTACACATTTCATGCTGCTGCTTTTTGGGACTCTTTGGGCCACTTCATCACCGTCCTTTCTGGGTTGGGGGGAAGGGAGGGATTGTACGAGGCTGCGGGACGTCGGGGTCCGAGGGGCGCACGCCCGTGGGGGAGGTGGGGCTGCCCGGGGTGGGCAGAGCTGAGGCGCCGGGCGCTGCTCCCCGCAGGAGGACTACCGGCGCACGGTGACCGAGATCGACGAGAAGGAGTACATCAGCCTGCGCCTCATCATCTCCGAGCTGCGGAACCAATACGTAAGTGGGGAACCAGAGCTGCTGCTGCCTGCCGCAGCCGGGGGGGCCCTGCTGATCCTGCTGCTGCTCTCCCCTTCCCCTGGGAGCACACCTAGTCCTGGTGAGAAGCTGTCTCCTCCTGCTCTGCTTTGGCTCTGAGAAGAGCCAATTGTTGCCTCTGCACCATCTCCTGGAGATGCAGGTGTTTCCAACCGAGCGTTCTCAGGAGCCCAGCACAAAATATTCCTTCCTTGTCTGGGAACCTGTGATCCTAAACTCTTCATGCAGTTCAAGCCATTCCTGGGGTCAGTAAAGAAACCTCTTTTTGGGGTTAGATGTGGTGGCTTCTGTAAAGCCTGGCTGGAAGAGGCCCTTGCCTTACCTTAACTAGGTGTGTGATTGCAGCAGAGGTCAAGGGTGGTGCCTGGGTGAGCTGTGCTGCTGCTTTGACCAGTGCTCCCTGCGATAGATGAACACTAGATGGCTTCACTCTTCTTGTCTGAGTCCTGTTCTCCCTTTTTACAGGTCACTTTGCATGACATGATCCTTAAAAACATTGAGAAGATCAAGAGGCCTCGGAGCAGCAATGCTGAGACCCTCTATTAAGTGTCAACGTTTGAACTTGAGAACTGTTCAGTCAACTAAAGACCGTCATTGCCTTGGTTTGTTACGTGACTATCGAGATGGGAAACTGGCTGGAAATAGTATTGCATTCTTAGTTAAACTCTAAAGAAATTCTTGCCTAGTTTTGTGATTGGTTTTGTTCAGGTCTCAGGAGCTCTCCCTCCCTCTAGTAACTGGTAATGAGAAGGCCGTGCTGCTTTGGGGTGCCCCAGAGGCTGCTGCAGAGTGAGAGCACCAGCCAGGCAGGAACATTCCTTCACACTTTTCTTCCTACTCCAGTAGGAACGACACTAGAGACCAAGCCCTTGTCCTGTCCCATCTCCTGCCTGGAGGCTTCACTGGGGTCTCTAGGAATGGGGCAGCCGGTGTTGAGCAGGAGGGTGAACCTGGGTGGTGGGGCAGTGTGGAGGAGCTTGCTGTCCTCACTGCTGGCTGTAGCTGGGCCCCTCTGTCACCTCTTTGCTGACCTATGGCAAAGACAGGAACCTGCCCCTTCTGGGCACCCCTCTCCCTTTCCGGCTCAGCAGCACCTGCCTTCCTGCCTCTGCCGCGGCCGCTCTGGCTGGACCAGCGCAGAGCGTGAGGTGGTGCTTGGAACAAGGGCTGGTGGCCATCCTGGCTGAGCGTGGGCTCTGGTGGCTTCTGCTCCTCTTTGACCTTTGAGCAGAGCCACTTTCTCGGCTACACCAACGTTCCTTCACATATGTCCTAGTGCCCCTTCAGCA